CGAGCTGCCTCTTCTGCTTTTTTTTTTTTTTTTTTTTTTAAATCTTTTACTAGTGCCTGTCAGGGACCAGAGACATGGCAGATATACTTGGTAGGGTGGTGTATCCCAGATCTGACGGGATGGATGGATCTAGATCATGCTGAATTTGAGTTGATTTCAGGGCCAGATTATCCCACATGTATTGATTTAGTTTACTGGGTTGCCCAGCTCTCAAAGAAAGCCAAAAGAGACAGCAGCAACCCATTAAACTAAGGTAATCAGTAGAAAAAAACCACTCCTCTTAAGTACATAAGATCTTATTACAGTCTTCTTTGGAAACAGCTAATCATTAAGTTAGGAGCAGGAGGCCTGAGAGGAACAGAATGAACTGAAAATAATGTATCTTCTCTTGGCGCAGGCAGCCACATTACTTATTGGTGAATGCAAGCTTTCATGAGTGTTTCTGATGACCTCTGCTTATGCCCTTAGGCCCCAGTAATGGCAACTTATTGGAGGACTAGGGGACTTGGGGGACACACCCCGGAAGGTGGATGACTCCAACATCTACATAAAAACCATTCCTGTCTTCAGCTCCAGAGGTACTACATGGGGTTTGTTTGTGCAAACATTTTCACATTCCTCCCCCATGACTCCTGCACCCCATACCAGACAGTAGCCACCTTTCGGCCACGTGTGCTTCTGCAGTGTTTCTTTGTCTCCACCATCCTCACTCTGACTGTCCCAAGCTTCATACCCCTCCCTCACTTCCTGCCCAGTGTTGTTGCATAGCCACCGAGTGGCATTTCCTGCCTCCTCGATCCATCCTCATTGCCTGCCAGCCAAGTTTCCTAAACAGGCAGCCATTCCTGACCCATTTGCTCAGAAACTATCCGGCTATGAGAATGAAGCCCAGACTGGCTATTGGCACTCAAGGCTTATTATACTTGTTCGACTTTCTAGACCAAAAATTTGATCTGTTCCCCCCCAATCCTGTTGTGAAAGAACTTGGTTGTGTCCTTCCTGCACATGGCCTTCAGTTTCCAAAGTTAGCTTAAACTATGTTCCTTCTGACTAGAATGTCTTTCCTCCTGTCTGCAAACATCCTTTTCTAGGGTTTAACACATGCTTCTCCCACCCCTGATTTCTCCTCCCCCATCCAGAAATAATGTCTCTCACGCCTGAGACACGTAAAGCAGCTACCTTTAAGACATTTCATAATTTCCCCTGCTTTTATATCCTACTTGTTCACATACTTCCTGTCCCCTCATAGATTTTTAATTGCCTGCAGAACTTGTGTCATTCATTGATGTTTAGAGAAGCACTTGAAAAAACAGGCTTGTCATATCTTTGGTTAAGATTTTTTTTTCTGGGCGCCTGGACTCAGTCAGTTACATCCGACTGCAGGCTCAGGTCATGATCCGTGGTTTGTAGAGTTGAGCCCCACATCGGGCTCTCGTGCTGACGTTCAGAGCCTGCAGCCTGCTCGATTTCCTGTGCCCCTCCCTTTCTTTCAAGTTCTCCCTTGTTCACACTCTGTGTGTGTGTGTGTGTGTGTGTTCACAAAAATAACAACATTGAAAAAAATTTCCTCACCTGAACTGTTAAAAAAAAAAAACGAAAACCAACAACACATTTTTTTTGATAGGAAACATCCAGTTTCAGGGTATATCTTTAGAAAACATTTTGATGGGCTTGGCATGAGTCGGTTAAGCCGTCCGACTTCAGCCAGGGCTCACGATCTGCTGTCCTGCGGAGTTTCTCTCTTCCTGAGCTCCTGTCAGTTTGGGTTGATGGCTCAGAGCCTGGAGCCTGATTCTGTCTCCCCTTCTCTCTGCCCCCTCCCCTGTTCATGCTCCTTGTCTCTCTCTCAACCCAAAATAAATAAAATGTGGAAAAAAA